AGTTCGTCAAGCTCGCGATTGTGTCAACTTGAAGCGTTGCAACTTCATTATAGAAAAACTGCGAAAACTGTTTTTCACCTGACCGTACCACAGTGCGACCGCACGTGTCATGACAACGGCACGCGGCGTGTGCGGTACGAACGTGTGCGGCGCGAAATCTCGAGAAGATCGCCGTTTGTTTCGCGCTCGTACGTCGATTTTTCGCCGAGATATGGTCGCTCGAAGTTTACGAGACTTTCTGAGGCGGCCGGCGGTGGCGCGCGCGTCGTGTAGTGCGTTCGCGCCGCGGACTTGACACCTTTGCCTGCTCCGAGTGGCGGCGCGTCGCGTCAAAGAAGCGAGGGCGAAACATTGTTGCGGGCCGCGTTCCGCGTTTGAGATTTCGCCGCTCGTCGATAACTCCGTGCAGAAAAATCGTAGAGACGTCGGATAAAGTGCATTGGAAAACTGAAACTGTCGCGTTTCCGTTGGAAGAGACCACGTCTCTCTTTGACATGGATTTGTTTGAAAATCATTGAAAGATCGAACAGCGCTTTCTCGCACTGAACAGAAAACGATAATTGAAAGCGTCATTTTTATGTTAATTCTAACGAATCGCACAGAAATAAAGCAAATTGCGGCTCAGATGATGAAATTATACTAAAGTCAAAGCCGTACACGGAGAGAATATTATAGTTTTTCTTTTTTATATATAAATTCTTTTTAATTTTGTGCTATATGTACTTCCAATAGTGCTGGATTAGACTGTCAATGAGATCAGTAGTATATATTAAATGAATTAAAGAACCTAGTAAATTTTTTTATTTTTTAATATATCAATTTTCCTGAAATATAAATAACACAAATGGGTCTTACTGTATTTCTGGTGATACAAAAATAGACTGTCAGTAATAAACTTTAAACCAATTAAAAAATTTGCAAAATTATTTTAATAGCACATTTCACTTCTTGAGATATAAGAAACACAAATGAGAGGATAGTGAGTATATACAGAACATCGATCTGTTCTTCGGTTAAAAAAGTCTGCAGCAATTTTTACAACAGAACTCTCTCAGTGTAGGATAAAGGTAGCTCGTAAATTCAAGTAGAGGGAAAAGCGATCTCTCATGAGAACGACTCTTTTCATTGCTCTCTTCCCGTTAGGTGTACAATGGCCCCTTAAGTCTAATTAGCTCGCTCGCGAAACAACTAACAACGTGCTCGAGTTCTGCAAGCTATCGCTCATCCGTTGCAAATTGTGCGCGCGCTACTAGCCGTAAATCGCAATAATCGCGGTATTAACATGCGCGTGTCGCGTAGACCGCGCGCTATAATTCACGATTCACTGAGACCGCGTTTCATCACGAGCATCACTCATCTCGCTTTCTTCGCGCAGCTTCGCGTATCGACGCGAACATATTAATCTTCTCGCGGCTCACAGTCGCGAGCGTGTAGCGTTCGCCTCTTCTCCTTCTCTGCTCTTCTTCTTCCTCTTCTCTCGTCTTCTTCTCGCGCGACACACGGCGGAATTCGCGCGAATGCTCGCGACCGCGCCGAAATCGGCGCGGCTGGTTGGTTCGCACCTCGCGCAAGCACCGTCCGGTTCTAATCCGTCGTGTGTGTCGTATGTTTGTATGCGTGCGTATGTATGTGTACTTGCGTGTGTGCCGTTGTTCGGTCAATAGAAGATCCCGTCGGCGATGTTCGCATAACGGTATCCCGTCGGCGAGAGCCGCGCGACTTCGCGCACGTCGCGACCGCGTCGCGTCGCGACGCCCGAGAGTTCGTCGCGCGTATTCAATCGACGACTCGCGTATGTGCGTACGATGATGCGTGTACACGAGGCCGCGTTACGTCGACGCATCGATGTAGCTAGTGCGTGTCCTGGGCGTGCACGTGCGCACACGTGCGGCGACGCGCGCCGAATGCGAAATCGCCGCGCGCGAAACAGTTCGATGCGCGACGATTATGTGCGAATTTCTTCCCCGCGACGTCGGGCATCGATCGCGGACGTTCGTTCGTTCGTTCGTGCGTTCGTTTGGACGCGGCCAACTCCGTTTCCTGACGACGCCCGAGGAATTTAACGAGCTGCGCCCCGTGCGAAAGTTTCCTTCGACGCGTCGATGAACTCGACGAAAATAAGACGAAGTCTGGACGGGAGGTCTCTCTTCGCAAGCGGCGAGAAGTGCGCGATGGAAATGTGAGGGCTGGAAAATGTGCAGTAAGGAAAAGAGCGCGATGACGCTTGCGACATGTGTCTGCGTGTCTTACTCTTTAACGCGAAGTCAAATAGGATTTTAAGGGACAAATTGCTTTTTTCAGAGCAAAAGAGCAACGACATTCGGGAATTTATTTATTTGAGGGAAAGTACTGAATATGTTTGGATTTTGTACATGTAATTAAGTAATATATATTTACATTAAAAGAAATTTATAATTAAGAAAATGAACAAAGTTTCTTATAAAATAGTGTTGCAGTTACAGTCTCTCAGGGTAGAATTTTATCAAGATATTTAATTAATATATTTGCTTTGAAAAGATAATTTGTAACTATTTTTTTATGCAGAAATATCACAACATCAATTACCTGCAACAGACAAATTGCACGCCTCTGCATGATTTAAGTTTATACAATAGTCAAATGAAAAAAATGAAGTTACCCGGGCCAGAATTTTTATTTTTAATCAATTAAATGTTCTGAGTCATTTTAAAGAAGAAATAGAAATCTGTTGTTAAAAAACTCGCTTCTGTTTTATTTTATAAAAAAATTAAAATAAAGATAAAAAGTCTGGTCCGAGATGCTATAACTACAACACTGTTTTGTAGGAAACTTTGTTCGTTTTCTCAAATAATTATAAATTTCTTTTAATGTAAATTTATTACTTGATTATATTATACAAAATTCAAACATATTTACTCAGTAAATAAAATTCCGGATATTGTTGTGTTTTTGGTCTAAAAATATAATTTAACAAATTTATTTGGCAAACCATTCTCATAAATCAAACTGCATTTTTTCCATATAATAAAGTAAATTTGTTTATGTGGACGGATAATAACATATACGTGACATCGATCTTCCAGATTATCGTAGATTTTTGCACAAAGTTGACAATTTAATTACCGTCAAATCAAGCTAAAAGAATTCATTTGTCGACAGTTGCTTCTAGTACACAATTTTGGGAAATTTCGAGCAAAATTTTTTGTTGCTACAGTTACTGTTGGATTGTAACACGTGCGTAGCAGAATGGCGAAATTGTCAGAGCCAACCGCGGGCTAGCACTCGGTGTTGAATCGACACCAAAATCGGCGCTCTCGCGAATATGACAGATCTCTGCGACGCGAGATTTTGCGCAGGAGCGCGATTTCATGAAGAGCGACGCGCGAGGAGAAGGCCCCCGAGCCTTTATAATCCGACGCATCCTTGAATTTGGGCGTGTCCGCTCTCCGCGGCGAAGTTGCCATGAAGTTCGGGCCTCACCTTCCACCCCACCCGAGTGTCCAATCGCCAGCGACGTTTTTTTCACTCCCCTTTTTGTTTCGAATCTCTAGTTTTTTAGGGACCGCCGGAGATAAAGGGCCCCGACCGAAGCGTGTACTGGTGAAGAAGACGTAGAGAGAGAGAGAGAGAGAGAGAAAAAAAGAGAGAGAGAGAGAGAACCGTCCACCTTTGTTCGCGAAGTTAATTACCGCTTGCTCTTCTCGCGCAGCAGCTTCTATAATTAGTAACATAAATTGCATTTATAACGAGGAGCCACGCAATCTCCGCGATGCGCGTCGGCATTTAAATTTCGTGCTGGCCGCCTGTCCCCGCGCGCGCGCGCGCGCGATATTTACGGAATACTTATATTACTCAATATGCTGACGCTCTTCTAGCACTTGGAGAGTGTATTGATTCAGTATCGCGTAACCAGTCGGAAAAGGGGAGATACGCGGCGAGACTTCCTCTCGAATACTTTCTAAAATAGCCTCGCGCCGCGGAATTATCAGATTTGATCTCGTCGCGCAGCAGTGGCATCGCGATTATTCTTTTTGGGAGCGCGCTCGTTCGAGAGAGATCTCTTCCACGTCAATGGTGCGTCCTGCTTCAGCGCGACTCTGTCGACATCGAGATCCCGGCGCGGGTTTCTCGACGCCGAGACGGAAATCGTTTCGGACGAGCGTGCCCGTAGACAGCGAGGACGCGTTTTTGCGGTCAGACGCCGGGATACGCCGCAAAGGACAATATCGGTGATTATACGACGCGACGGCCGGAATGAAAACGAAATTGGATTCCACACCGCGTTATCGGAAGCAATTCGACCGCTCGTAGGAAGTCTCTCACTTCGTTTCCTTGTACTTTCTAAGAATGACTCTCGTTGGATTATTTCTCTCGTGCGTCCGTCTCTCTGCACGGTTATCGTTTCCGCAAACGTTGCCTCGCCGAGTCTAACGCAACGGAGATACCGTGCAAACCGTAATTTCTTGATTGGGGGTGTACTGACGAAAAGATTCGGTAATAACCAGCAAGCCTGGATAATAGTTACCAGATGTTTCGATACAGTAGTTTAAACTAAACATGTAGGTGAATAGAATCAGATAATTTGGCAAGTCTTAAAAACTTCAGCAAGGTTTGGTGTCTGTTGCTAAGATTGCGCGGCTATTACTAATTTATGTGGTACGTATGATGGTATCATCAAACAATTTGTTAAATAAAATCATGTCGTTCAATGATACCGCATTATGTGATAAATTTACGAAATGGTAGAATACTTTAGTGATAGCCAAACTACTTAATTTTTTATTTTTCTATTTTTTTATTACTAAGTAATTTTCACCAAATTACTTGGTATTACAAACAATTTAATTGTTTCAGCTAAATGTTTTTTGATAATCTTTCTCGTACTTTCGGTCGTTCTATGTACGAGTGAAGCACTCGTTAAGGATGCAATCTTTATAAAGTTGCTGCCAAATTTACGTACCTCTGTCTGTTTGGGGGTGTCCCATAATTGGCGGTGTAATCGGGAAAGTAGCGATTCTTCATGAAATGGAAGAATAAAAATGTCGAAAACGCAGGACAACGTTTTCCTCTCGCGATGTCGCGTTCTCGAGAAAATTCATCTGTAAGATGAGAGAATTTTATCACTCACTATTATTATCGATGTATATAACACCGATGCAACGTGACGTGCGATGCAGCTAACGGAGGAACGACTCGCTAATTCTTTCTTGGTCGCGCGCTCGAAGTTTTACCAAGCGACAAACGTATGGCGAGCCACGCACCAAAGTCCAGACAGGATACGAAGGATTGAGCCTCGTTAGTCCCCAATCGCCGAATCGGAGTCGACTATTTTGGCGTGCGCCCGTGACTCTCGTGTCATTTTGGCCGGTCGACGCGACTTCCAACCGGTCGATGCTTAGATCTTCTCGCGCGCGTTCGCGACCGACGCTCAAAATTGACGAAGGAATTGACTTATTGATTGACTGACACCAATAGGTCGAAAACGTATATTCGTCAATTCTGCATTGTCGACTCGGTTTGAGAATCGCGTCTTCTCGTTGGGAAAGTTGTGCTTGCAAATAGACTCGCTCTTTTGCGACCGTTAGACTCTCCCTCGCTGAATCCCATTCCAGTCGTCGTAACAAGGGCAAGGGTGCGTAAAAGGAACGCGGATGACGATCGAGGGGGTGAAGGAAGGAAGGCGGGAGGGGAGTTTGACGGTGGTTGCGCGTCCACGGCAGTCTGGCCAGTCGATTACGGTGCCGAAACGAGCGCCGGGGTATCTCTCCAACCAGTTTCGGACAGTGTCTTCGCTCGTGGCTATAAAGAGAAGGACGGCGAGCATGCGGATTCGCGAGGGAAGAAGCATGCCTATGCGACGGAGAAAGCGAGAGCCGGAGGAGAACGGCCGCGCGATCGCGAGGAAGGGAAGGGTGCTGCTCGCTTCTCGCGCGATGGAGGAGGACGGAGAGTGAAAAGAGCGGTGGAGGGAAGTACGATTATTCGCGAAGGAGGAGAAGAGAGGCACGGAGGGCGGTCAGGAGGAAGGAAAAGAAAGCGTGATGAAGGGGGAAGCGGAGGGTGGACCGAGGGATAACGAAGGAAGCGTGTCTGGAGGCGAAAGACGCGAGGAGGAGGAAGAGGAGGACGCGAGCGCGGAAGAGCCGAGAAATGAGGGAAACGCCGAGGAAAATATGTTGGACAATAAAGAGGGGCAGATAAGTAGCGAGATACGGGCAAGAAACGAGACGGAGATGAGTAAGATGCCGAGCACAGGAATATGTCTGAATGGGAGGGGGTGGTGGTCGGGTAGGAGGAGAGGAAGAGATAGTCTTTGCCATCTGCCCCTTCCTCCGCGAGTGAAATATGTGCGAAAGAAAAACCTAAGAAGGAGACTCGACTGACCGAGCTAGAAAATCCGCGACGACTCTATGATCGGCGGCTGGATCGGATGAAGCGAAGACACCGGAGGAACTTGACCAACGTCGTGGAGGAACGAGAACAGCGTCATGGCGAGGAAGACGAATACTATCTAGAAGAAGAAGATGACGACGACGACGACGACGAAGATGACGAAGAAGAAGGAGAAGAGCCAGTGGAGGCGGTCGCCGAGTTTGAGTTTCGGTTTCGTTCGTCTCGCGCCTGCTCTACGCCAAACGGGAGCCGAGAGTGAACCTGTTCAGCTGCGAGGAAGATGGAGAGAGAGAAAGAGAGAGAAAGAGGGAGAGAGTGGCAACGACAGAGATCGACAGTATGACCCGACGGCGAGTGCGTCAGCGGGGAGAACGACGGAGAGAGACAGCGTCGCTCGTGCGAGAGTCGGACAGAGCGGGACAGAGGCAGCGGGAAAGAAGGAGGAAGAGAGAAAGAGCGATCCGTGTTGAACGGAGAGAGAGAGAGAGAGAGAGGGACGGGTGGGAGGAAGAGAGAGAACGGCAGAGAGATCGACGCGGGAACGTGATAGAGTAGGCGCGAGCAAGACGGAGCGAGATAGCGAGCGCGAAGAGCGGGGGGTAGAGCGAGAGCAAGAGAGGAGGAGAACAGACTTGAGGCGCTCTGCTCCCAATAACGACTCTCGCCCTCGGTCAGTCGCGCGCGAACCGCGGAGCCGCGAACATCTCTCCGTCTCTCTCGTATCGCCAAGGGGGAGACTCCGGTGTTTCTCGCGCTCGCTTCGGCCTGCCAATCGCGCGCCCGTCATCCGGGCACGTGCGACAGGGAGAAGAAAGGAAAGAAGGACAAGCGAGGGTGAGAATAAACGCGAACCGATGCGAGCGAAGGGAGTCGGGTCGGTCCGGGAAGGTGGTGCGCCTTGATGATCGTGGAGAGGCCCCCGCTTGCGAAAGGGTCGCGCAAAGTGCATTCGCGACATCCCTCCGTCGTCCTGCGCGCACAGAAGTCGTACAGAGACGCGGTGAAAATAGCGTTGCTGGAGGACCGCGAGGTCGTCCGGAGAAATAGCGTTCGCGAATCGAAAAGCGCGTCGGAGAAGAGCGGCTCAGTCAATCAATCGGTCAGTTAGTCGTTTGATCGGTCGGTCCAATCGATTTCTCGCGAAGTTGTCGCGGTAAACCGATCCGACGAGGAAGATCCGCGGGCTTTGGATTAGTCGACGCGAGAGAACTGGCGCATAGGGATAATCGTTCTCCAAGGAGAATTGCTCGCGTTAAGGGCAACGACAAGGGGGTAGTTTGCGTCTTTTAAACGCAGTGATCAGATCGGAGCAAAAAAGAAAGACAGAAAGAGAGGGAGAGGACGACGGACTTTGGGGGAACATCTATTTTATCGATCCGCTCCAGGAAAAAGTGAGTCGTCGCTTTTTCGCTCGCGGACGCGGAGGATAACGCGCGTGATCCGCCGCGGAGTGCAAATTCCCTGCGATCATTCCCCGACCGTGACTTTCACGCTAATAGCTGGGGAGCAACGCTTGGGATAGATTCACGCGTCGCCGCTCATCCGGACGGGTCAGCCCGTGAGATTCTGGCAGTGACAGAAACGTCCAAAATCTCACCAGTGGCGATCGGTCATTGAATCAGAGAGAAAGAGAGAGAGAGGGAGGGAGAGAAAGAGAGAAAGAGAGAGATCGTTCTTCCAGTCGTTCCGCGACCTGGACAATTCGCGACTGTCAACCGAAATTGGCGCAGATCGCTGGACCGTCAGAGCTCCAGCGGTCGGGAAGCGTTGATTCCTCCGGCGGGCCATCCCGAGAAGGCCCGATAATCCCGCCATGAGGCGTCAAATGCCGCGCACTCTGTGATAAGAAGGCGGTCCGCGCGAAACGGAGAAGCTGGCATCGGCGTGGCGGTGGCGACGACGGCGGCGGTGACGACGGCGGGTGACGGCGGGACGGAGGATCGATGGATCTGTAATGCGTGCAAAGTGCGATCGACGTGCACGACGACGACGACGACGACACGGATACCCAGATACCGCAGATCGGGTCGCGGACGGCGGTGGGTGGAGGCGCGGAGAGGAGGCCGGGGATCGGGCGGCGAGGCGGAATAGGGGCGAATGAGTACTTTTCGAGGTTATCTCTCGGGGGGGAGCGCACGTCGGGACGGACACTCGACGATATTAACGATCACGACGACGTCGACGTGATCTCGCGGTATATCCGTGGATGCCAACACGCGGCTCGCTGGTGTGGCCGAGTGAGTGGAGAGCGCAGGGGGCGACCAGGGGTCGAGTGGCAAAGTGAGCAGGTCCGACGACGAAGAGGCGAACGGAAGGCGCAGCGTGTGTGTCGCCGTTGCGCCGAGGAAGCGGCAGCGCGGAGAGGACGCGCGGTGGCTATTGCTATTTTCGAGCCCGCCAAATATCTCGCTTACGCGCTACAACTGCGTCGAGCCGCTGTGTTCTCTCGCTCCTCTTCCGCCGTCCCGTTCCACCTCTCTTTCTCGCTACCGGAACGAGTGTTCCCCTCTCGAGGCGGCGGCGGCGGCGATTCTGCACCGACGACCGCGACGACGAGTCAGCCGACGAGTCAGTTGGACAATCACCTTCGAGACGCGTGACAGGTAGGAGAAATCGAGCAGGAAGCTCCCTCTTTATTTAATTATTCTTTTTGTTTTGGTTATTCATTTGTTTGTTTTTGTCGCTTTATTCCGCCTCTTTCGATCCCCGCGGGGATCGAAGGTGGTTTGCGATGGCTCGTCAGACTCGACGACGGGGGTTGAAGGAAGCGTGGGATTGGGGATGCGCGACGTGCCTTCGCGGGCCGATCACCCGGCGAGACTCGAGCGTGAGAAACCGACACGTCGCGCGCGCGGTCCATCCACTAACATCCGGGGTGAATCGCACCGGTCATTCTTGGCGCTCCGTTCTAACGGATCGCAATCTGGGACTCGATTTGTCTCTCAATCTCGACGAGACACACGTTCGATATGAAAGAGAAAAGAGCAAAAGTCAAAAAAGAGGAAAGACGATAGAAAAGGGAGAATCAGTGACGGAATCACTTGTAGTTTCGATCAGTTTTTATTGACTTGATCCAACAGTGGATTTTGACGGAATTCACGGTGTAATTTGTATCTTTACGATGCATCTCATGATGCACTGAGGAAAAACGACCAGACAGGTGTACGCGAATTTACCAGCAACTTTTTCAGTCAATTTGTAAGGGTTGCTTCCCTTATAAATGGCTCATATGGCATTCATATTTGTTATATAAAATGACGAAATAGAAATACGAAAGAAATGCGCGAAAAAACGATGAAAATTTACTCAAAACATTATCTTGTAACGCGAAAATCATATAGGAAATTGGTCGCTGCATCAACGCTACGACAAATTTATATGATTCTATGATGCAACTTTCATGATTAATTTAATTCATTTTATATTTGTCTTATAAATTTAATTTAAAACATTGTAAAGAGAGAGAGTGTGTTCTCATCTATTATCATCATTATCGATTATCTCACGTCGTGATAATCGTGAAAGTCTATTTGGGTGGTTAAATTAATGTCACCAGAAGTTATAGTTATTTTCGGCGTCAAGTATACTTTCTCGTTAACAAAAAAGCAATACAAGGAATATACATGGAAGATTATTGTCATTCTAAAATTGTACACGGAGAAAATATTGCAGTAAACTTTAACATTATTGTTGTAAATATTATAACAATATTATACATTTTTGCAATCTTGAATCATGTAGAATATGATCGGAATTATTATGCATTTGCTTAAAAATCTATATTTATTATGTATGTTTGATTTTTTTACTACAAAATTATTCTTATAATACTACAGAATTATTCTCGAGTAGATCATCAAATTTACTATTTCTATAGTAATTTATGTGCTACAATTTCAGTATAATCCAGCTTTACGAGAAACATTGATGGAAAACAAATATTATTTATATATTATAATAAATAATATATATTATAACAAATAATATTATATTTCAACGTAATTTTCACTGCAATATCTTCTCTCTGTATATTAACATTTATTGCACAAACGGCCCTGATAATTGCAATTCTTCACTCTGCGATTACAGTCACAAAAGTAGCAAGATACAATTCTCCCACTCTGTGATTGCAGTCACAAGTAGCGAGCAATTTTTTCTCGATGTATTCGTGCGATTATTCGCACGATTGTCGCGTTGCATGCGACCCCCAGCGAAAATTATCACTTAGGTGATATGCGCGCGATTCCTCTCCTTTCGCCGTCTCGAGGGAATATCTCTCCGAGGCTGCGAGCGAACTTTCGAGCATGCTCGATATACGACGAATATATCGAGATTATTTTTACACGTGTCCCGCGTGTGCTGTGCGTCATTGGTAGCTCCCCGCGAGATGCTGCCCGCTTCGCGGCGTATCCACTTCGTGCGCGAAATATTCTCGCGCGGCGCATTCCGCGCTGCTCAGGAATCGCATTTTCCCCGCGACGATCAGGTGTCCGATTGGACGGCGAAAAATTCCGTAGCGCACACGCTCCCGGCTGAGTCGGGGCGAAAATTGAAGCAGCAGCTGCTGCTGCTTACACTTGAGACGTCTCTCGTTGATCATCGGTATCTGCACTCGCCGCGACGGCCACGTCATCGCGTCACAATGGCGCATTCAATGCGCAGCGCGTTTTCGGTAATTCTGCCGCCGCCTCCGATAATAACGTCAGTAGGTCAGAATGCCGTCGCGCGAATAATTCAGCGCGAACTCGATTCGCGCGCTGCAGCCGCAAAAGCCTTTGTTACTCCGTGTTTTCATCGTGCTTCCGAAAAAACACTCGCGAGTGAACGCATGTCGAGAGGTGAATGAATAATCCCAAGCGGCTAATAAATCAGCGCGAATACCGGCAAGGCTCGGCAAACAGCGAGTCATGTGATTAACGAGCCAAACGTGAAAGTCCATCGCGCGCACTTTAATTCGACTGCGACCTTCGCAACTCGTCGCGACAATAAGCCCCGTGACTTCGTTTCTTCACGAAAACAGAACGCGATCTCGCTCCATCGTAGCGCGTCATTCGAACTTCAAGCCCCTTCAGGGCGAGCTTTGTGTCGATTCAGATTCGACTCCGCTAGGTAGATCTCGTCAAAGTCTTCAATTTGACATTCAAATAATTTCTGCGTCTTGGTATTTTAGGCTTTCGCGGTGTTATTCATTACTTTGTTTGTTTTCCGTGTTTGGACCGCGTCTTTCTTATGTTTGGTTTCATTTTTTTTTCAGATTACACTCTCTCTATACTTATATAATTATTATAATTAATATAATTAATTCTTATTATATAACTCTGTTATATAATTTTTATGTCTTATTAATATCTGTTGCTTGAATCTTGGGCTTTAATCGATTGGGCTTTAATTGATTGGGCTTTAATCGATTAAAATTTTCTTTGATACTAAAATACTCGGCAAATCAAAAATCAAGATTAATCAATCGTTATATATATGATCACGAGTAATGTCATCGATTGATAAAATTAATTAGTGTATAATCAGTCACGTTTGATCAATAAGTGGCTTCACCAACCGATGAAATTATTTGTAATTTTATATATGACGACTAATTAATTTGATGATTGATTTGCCATTATTTTAGTTAATTATTTTAGTTAATGAAAATTTTAATCGCTCCTCAAGTCTCAAATGAGATACTCAGATTTTTATTTTCAGTCAGATTTAAGTTCTTCAGTTGAATTATGATAAGTATAACATTTGTATTTGCAGGCGCGATTCAATTGAAAAATTCTCATCTAACTCTAACTGAAATATAAAATCTGAGTATCTCATTTGAGACGAGTTTTAAGCAATAACTATTAATATAAGCCTGAAATTTCAATTCAGAGTCAGATGAGAATGTTTTAGTTAAATCGCGCTTACAAATTCCACGTGTATCATAGGATTCAACTGAAAAACTCGGATCCAACTCTGAGTGAAAATCTGAGTATCTCACACGAGAGACAAGTTTAAAATGACAACTATTAATTAGACTCGAGAGGAATTACATCTGAAACAATATTACATCCATCTCACAGGAACAAAGATCAGGCATCGATTCAATTTTTATGCAAGAACGAGAGCAGTATTCGCGTCATTTGTGCACGCACATATTTGCATTGCACTTTTCGGGGGTGCGTGTAACGTAGAGGGGTTTATCGCGGTTCGTCTCTCGGCGCGCAGGACTTTGTATTTTTTTCCCGCACATGGACCGGACTCGCTTGCCGATCACGTCTCCACCTGGGCTGAATTATTCGCCAGGCGATAAAATTCGAGACCGGAATGAGCGGGACGAGGGGGCCTTCGAAAATTCTTGGGGACGTGAGCTGCCGTGCTGACGAGCGCCGATTAGCGCGAATAGAGTTACCGTCATGTTTCCTCGCGTCCGATCGATTGGACAAATACGAAGCGAAGAGACAGTCTTCTTCCTTCCTCTCTATCCCTGTCTCTTTTTTTCTCTCGCAATTTTTTTACGCGAGATATCTTATTATTTGGAAATATCATGACGAGAGAAAAAGAGGGATTGTTTTGACGAATTTGCTATCAAACTGACGATACGAGATATAGAATGTCATCAATTCGATATTCTTCGACATTATTAATTAATCGAACATTGCATGAAGTTGATAATAACAATTACTCGATATTAAAGTTTTAGGAATTTTTGCGATATATACAGGATGTCTGACTCAAAGTGTATCTCGTATACATGTAAATCAAACTGAACGCAAAATTCATCCACCATTTTGTAAATAATTATGTTGGTTTTTAAGTAATTGTTCGAAGAAGATTAACGAATGATTACTGGTAATGCACCAATATTCTTTAATTAATAACTAAAAATCCATTATTTACAAAATGAGAGAGAGAGAGAGAAAGAGAACTTTCTTGTTCAATTTCATCTGATACACAAACACATGGTAGCAGGTGTTGCTACCACAGCTCATTTGCCATATTAAGATTTTACGTGGTTACTTGCAATATGGTGGAGGAATTTTGTGTTTAGTTTAATCTACACGAAGCTTAGTTTAATCTACATAAATATATTGAGGGAAGAAGATGGTTGATCTAACTAAAATTATAGTTCTTTTTCTAGGCTACAACTATACTTGTTTTAGTGAAACGAGGTAGCAGTAACATTCATACAAGGTTTTCATCGCTATTATTACAGTAGAACTTACAAAAATAATAATTTTCTTGATAATTTATAGCCATTATTTCTCTATATAGTTATAGCTAATACCAGACATTTTTTCTCAGTGTGGAGCATTTTGCGTCAGACAGTATAAGACAATACAATACGATATCATACATATATACAGTATATATATATATATATATATATATATATATATATATATATATATATGTCTTTATACAGTATATACATATATATGTCTTTATACAATATTATACAGTATTATACAGTATTATACATATGCGCATATGTGAATTATTATTCATAATTCGTGAAATCACATCGTGTCGCAGCACCCGAGACACGCTTTGTACCGCAGGGACACACCTCGCAGCGCTGCTTTAAAGTAGCGGCAGTTTAAATCGAAGCTGACGGGAGTCG